AAACTTTTCAGTACTTATTATCAGACTTTGCAATCCGACGTTAGTCGGATAAGACGTTATAACCGTTTTATGTATTAGTTTTAAATTTTAACGGTTCTCAAAAATCAAGATTTCACGGTAGCATCCCGAATCAGTTTTCGCAAAATAAATATTTTATTCAGAAAATTGCGAAAAATCGCGTACTCTGATGTAGTAGTAAGTCGGGGTGTTACAACCATGCATCCGGGTCTGTTCCCGTGAACGTGGGTATAGTAATTTTTGGCCGTGTGCCCGCCCCGTCATCCTGTGGATCGTCGCGATCGTGGTATCGGGCACGTCCCACGTCCCGTCGTTCATGGCATCGTCGGCCCTCGTTGTAGCGCTCTCGGTCATCGCGTCGTGCCCGGCGCTCATCGTGTGAGGCCCGCGATGCGTACGATGCGTACGACTGCCGGTCGTCCTCTTCTTCGCGCCTCGGGTGATGGTGTGCGCGTTCACCACGCCGTCGCCGGTCGTCGCGTTGATGATTCGCTTATGATGCGTGTGTGCCCCGCGATCAACGATCATCCTCCCGCTCGGTCCCGGTGCTCACGGCCGTGGACCGCGACCCGTGTCTTCTCCTTGGCCGCGTGTTCATGCGCGTTAGTTGCCCGGCCAAGTCCTGGACCATTAGTTCGATCCTTCCCAAGTTCTCGTTGGTAGCATGTTGACCATCGCCGATGATCTTCATGTTGTCCTCCAAGGCTTGAATCCTCTCACGGTTCGACATCGTAATTTTTTTTTTTTTTGACTCTAAAAAAATTCGAAAATAATAGGGGAAAAATTCGAAAAATTCGAACCCCCAACAAGACCCAAAAAAATCGAACAAAAAAGAAATTCGGCCCCTCAACAAAAGGTAATAACCGAAAAAATCAAACAAAGGACTAACAAGATGACACTTTTTTTTGAAGACTCAAATTCAAAAAAATAAAGGGAAAATTCGAACAATAAATTCGAATCCCAACAAAAATAAAGAGAAATTTGGCCCCTCAGCAAAAGGCAAACCGAAAAAAAATAAAAAAGATAGGATAGACAAAATATCGATCAACACCTCTCAATGAAACCCTCTCAATGAAAGCACCAATGATGACGGATCGATCTTTTGTCTATACTTGTGTTGCGAATAAACGGCGCACTGCGGCCTTCGTTTATCCCCGATAGGCGTGTCTAACAGACGCACTGCGGCCTTCTCCTAGACACCGTGACTTCAAGACGCACTAATGGCCTTCTCTCCGACACTGTATGTAAACACGCACTAATGGCCTTGTTTATCACACGTTAAGAACATAAAGTTCCCCCTCAAGATTGGCTCACCAATTCAATACTTCATTCAACATGTAAAATATGATGAGGTACATGGGGTATTTATAGATGCCAACTACCTCTAGTTCTAATCTTACTAGGAAACTAATAAAAAAATTAAATATTAAATCTTAAGTCTAGAAAGCAATAAAATCCTAAACCTACCAAATAACTATTGCTTGGCTTGCACACCAAGCAAATCTAGAAGCTCCCTAAAAAACCCACATGTTAAAAACTCTCGGCCTCCCTAATCTCCCGCCGCCTCGTCTCGCGCGTCGCACGCGTGTGCGTGCGTCTCGTAATCCTCCGCGGACCGGGACTCTTGCGCGCCAGCCTTGCACGCGCGCCTACTCGTACGCCCAGTCCCGCGCCCGGCTCCTTGCGCGCGTGCGCGATGCCTCCCTCGCCTACACCTACCGCGCATAGGACTCCCGCGCGCTGCCCCTGCACGCTCGCGCCATCTCGCCCTTACCGCGCCTGCCATGTCCCGCCTGCGCGTGCACGCCGTCCCCTTCCCATGTCTAGTCCCGCGAGGATTAGGCCTCGCGCGCCCGTACCGTATGTGCGTGCATTTGTGCGCATCAAGGGTCGATGCACACTTTTTGCGTTTTAGCCCTCCAAGTTCACTAGCCTCTCCGGTCTCAAACTCCACTTCCGTATCAACAGCGCCCAGCGCGCCCCACGCGCGCAGGCAGCGCACAACGCGCGCCCAGCCAGCGCCAGCCCACCTTCCGAGCCCAATTCGGGAAAATCCAGCCCACTTTCACCGAGCCCAAATTTGTAAGGGTGCAACCAACTTATTTAGGAGTCTTTTCAGCCCAATTGACCCTAGGGTAATCCAAGTCAAAGTCATTTTGTCCTTAGCCAAAGTGGGTGCATGTGCATGCATTATTTTAATGCACATGTGTAAGTTTATGTCCCCCACTCACCTTGTGTCCAACCAGAGCCTTTGTCCTCTTTCAAGATGCTCTGAAAACCTCCTCAAATTCCACTCAAGTCATCCCCAATGCAGCCCCAAGTCCCTAGGTTCACATGAAGTGGGATAAAAGCACTTAAAATGTGTCTCCCATGAGCTACCTAATGAAATCCGCCCAAGACTCCATTTAACTCATTCTTCAGCAAGTAAACACTCTTGGATACTTAAATATTTCACCCACAATCAGCCATATAGAGAGAGATAGCCGAGAGCCTTGCATGCATGCGCCTAGGCCCGATAAAGAGGAGCACCGAGCCATCTCTTGTGCTAGCCGAGTTTTGCTGCACCAAGCCGAGTTCATATCATCTCTGGGAGTATAAGGAGCTTAGAGAAGCCACTATCTTCAGCTTATAGGCTACCAAGTCAAGTCACGGCCTTTAGTGACCCAAGAAGAGCCGAGCAAGGGACCTAGCGCCGTTTTCATCCTTCGGTGAAGGTTAGATCGTGCTATCTTTTTATCCTAGCTCTAACATGATATTTTAAGATTTATCATGTAGAGAAATCATGTTTTGCTCGGGTAGAATATGAGTTTCTCAAAATAAGTAAGGGTGCTCGGTCATATAGAAGTCGATTTTCAGCTCATTTTTCACCTCCGAGCCATTTTGTTATGCATGTTTGATGAACCCTCATTAAAATCGTGTTAGGGCTGTGGACTATGGAACATTTATTAGTCTTTGGCCTCATGGTGAAGGCCTTAGACGTTTTTGTTGAGTATGTGGCCATATATGTATTTTTGAATCGGGAGTTGCTGCTGATTTTTACAAAAATCATTATAAATTGTGTATCCGTCCGATTGCTGTGTAATTTAAACAGTAAGACCTTCTTTTGGTATATTATGTGTTGTAAAAATTTCAAGTCGAAATGATGTCTCTAGCTATGTCAAATGTCGATTTGCAATTCTGAGCAGAAACTTTAAAAAAATCATTA